ATTCGTTGCGTAATGGTTGACATATTTCCCAATATATTATATATATTTCAGATGCAATTTAAAGCACATCGGGACATGCGGAATTATACAGTATGATTGAACACATTTAACTGTGTCTTATATTGGGGTATATGTGGGTATATTTTTAGATGCAAGACATATGTAAAATTAAAAATTATTCCTGATGGATTCTTTGGCGAAGAACTTGATGTCATACGCGCATTCTGATTGGTTTGTCGTATTTTCGCACATTACATTCATCGCGAGGGGTATGAGTCTTCATGCAGTTTACAGAAAGGGGCGAGTGGTGACGAATGCAGCAGGTCTTTAACTTATCAGGGGAGATAATTGCATGCAATGATCGCTTTGTGAATCAACGTAGAAATATGCATTTCTCTTTTTGATTCACGACAAAAACACAATGCACCTTACAAATGATATCACAGGTATCCTTTGACAACATATCTCCACGTTTCACAAGATTTCTCGCCTATACCGATGCTGTTGGTACAATCAGACGTGTCATGTCGACGGTCACAAAATTACATGATAACAATGAAGAAAATATTTTAAATGGGACATGAAATATTACAAACCTGGTAGTTTTAGTTTGGCCAATGATTATTATTTGATAATAACCAACTTTCGTCGCGTGATTGTGTGTTGAATGGAAAATAATTGTGAAAAACCGAGTGCCAAAATGATGGTTGACGAACCGCGGAGAGAACACCTGTTTGCCAGTTCTTAGAGTAACCTAAGTCCCAAAAGTGTTGTGAATATTACTTTGGCCAACCTCCAAGCACTCGCGCGCACGCACGTGTTTTTTCAGACATCTAACGTGCCAAAATGTGTCAACCCCTCATTGCGTTTTTAATTTTTATTCAAGTGTGCACTTCCTCTCCTTTCAAAATCCTGCACATACGTGCCTCCATTGGTAGTGCGTTGGGGCTAGTTTTGATACCGTTTAGGACAGGATGAGTCGCGGCGACATGCTTCACTGTATGACACTGAGCCTTGAGATTGATCATTAAATGCCACCTTACAGCTACAGGTGAGTCTCGTGAGTATATTCATACTCATAATAGGTCCCTATTACCCTATGTATGCCGGGTGGCACGGGTGGCACAGACCCCGCAATTAGCAGTGCACAGTGGTTAACATCACATGTCTTTAAAAACTAAAATAAAGTAGTGATTAAGACAAATCTGAAACATGTTGCCAGGGGAATGCATGGGTGGTCCAGTCTTCTAAGGCGCCCTAATTCTCGCACTTCCGTCTCTCAAGCGTATCAGGAAACCTATGATCACGGGTTTAAATCCCAGATTCCCCTTGATTGTTTCTAGGTTTGTCAGCACCATACCCATGGTAAACGTGTAAGAACTGCTTCACTTCTGTTTTTCCTCCTGATCAGGCTCACGAGCCGTGATATAACTGAAATACTGTTTAAAGCGGCGTTGAATTAAACGCTCACCTACTCACATTCCATAACGTAAGAAGGACTTGAGGAGCAGACAGTCGACATGTGTGACCATGGGTGACCACATTGTTAGCCATTGCGTCGATGGTTGCTTCCGCTATCAACCAGTGGTATCCCTGACCAATAATGTTGTCCGGCTGAAATATTGCCCACTGCTACGTAATATGACCACTAATGCACGCTGAAACAGATCATATAATAATTTCTGTTAAATCCAGCTTGTGTTATCGCCTATGTCGTGGAGGGTATATCTCTGGGGTTTGAGTAACTACGATCAAGAGTCCCGCTGACATGCGATGCACCCAAGTTATTAGGGATGTCTCTGGGCAATGCAATCAAACACGTTTCTCTCTTCCATTGCAAATCAGTCCATGCCCACTCGATAAATCAGTGCTACTGCCACGTAGGGCATATTGCTGACAGGACAGATAATGGAGCAAAGGTTTCATCATGTGTTGGCCTCGATGGGGACCAGGAGCAATGGTGAGATATGCCATACAAACTGCAGTGGTACTACGTATTTCTGAAGTATTTATATTTCATTATCTTACTGCTTGTACAGTACTACGTACTACATAAATACACAAACTATTAAACACAGCGTCATGTCTTACTGCTTGCCCAGCACTACGTATTGCACGTATACATCAACTATTAAACACGGCGTCGTCTTACTGCTTACCCAGAACTACGTATTGCACATATACATTAACTATTAAACACAGCGTCACAGTGATATGTCTTACTGCTTGCCAAGTACTACGTACTACACAAATACACCAACTATTAAACATAGCGTCACAGCGCTACGCCTTACTGCTTTCCCAGTACTACGTACTACATAAATACACCAACTAATAAACACAGCGTCATGTCTTACTGCTTGCCCAGCACTATGTACTGCACGTATACATCAACTATTAAACACAGCGTCACAGTGATATGTCTTACTGCTTGCCCAGTACTACGTACTACACAAATACACCAACTATTAAACACGGCGTCGTCTTACTGCTTGCCCAGCACTATGTACTGCACGTATAAATCAACTATTAAACACAGCGTCACAGTGATATGTCTTACTGCTTGCCCAGTACTACGTACTACACAAATACACCAACTATTAAACACGGCGTCGTCTTACTGCTTGCCCAGCACTATGTACTGCACGTATACATCAACTATTAAACACAGCGTCACAGCGCTACGCCTTACTTCTTGCCCAGTACTACGTACTACATAAATACACCAACTATTAAACACAGCGTCATGTCTTACTGCTTGCCCAGTACTACGTTCTAAATAGATACACCAACAACTATTAAACACGGTGCCATGTCTTACTGCTTGTACAGTACTACGTACTAAATGGATAGGACAACTATTTAAAAACACAGTGCCACATCGCAATGTCTTACTGTATGTTCAGTACTATGCACTAAATAGATACAACTATTAAACACAGTGCCACAACAGTTGTCCTTACTGCTTCAACAATCCAACAGCTGAACCTGTGTTAAATAAGTGTCACTATTTGTTGTCTTGTTGACTATTACCGAAAGCAGAATCCATAGAATCACTCAAACTATATAGCAGGGACCGGTACGCAGAACGCTGAGTCAGCCTGTTTGGTTTAACTTCGCTCAGAAAAGTATTTCCATCATATCTGGGTGTGGAATGCCCGCAGTGAGGCAGGCATTAGGCGTTTACAACCTAGGTTAAACCCACGAGCAGGGGTATGGTGCTGACAAACCTAGAAACATAATCAGATTGAATCTGATTCGAATCGTAGGTTTCTTCACTCATAAGGGGCGCAACCCTGCACAGTAAATTGCGTTGCCTCGGGCCATGATTGCTGCTGTACGCAGGACAATATTTTGACAGCTGGAAACATATACTGTATTCGGCGTACAGACCAATAACCATTGGGCTTATGGTCACCAGGGACTACTATTACTCATGAGGACACACACGAATTTAGGGAATCTTATCTTAAAAGGGGTGATGATCTCATCGTGAAGATGTTACTATACTTACGTGTTGCACCAACATCTCTGCCAAACAAGAAGATCATTCAGTGACACGATTGGTTTCCCTCAGTTTCTAAGACAGCAAAATTTGTCAAGGAAAAGTGTCAGAATAATTTAATCTTAAGAAATAGTAAATGTTATCAAACATAAATGTTAAATTATCGTCTCCATGTAAACTTCTTGATTATCATCTTTATTGTTCACACGTATTAATGTAACGTTTGCAGATTCTACAAAGAATGGTGTTTTCGCATTATAGAGTAATACACAGAAGAAGTAATAAACCTTCCAATTTGAAGGTGACAGTAACAAGATGAAATTGTGTCATTGAATGATCAAGTCTCAAAAACATCACTACATGAATCTAAAGTTCTGATTAAAATAATGAACTTGTATACCGTTTTACTGTTTGTACATCAATCTCTCTCTATTCCAATTGTGTCACGGAACTGTAGTTATATGTTGTCAACAGTATCAAAAGAATGCTGTCGGCATATATTTTCAAATATCTTCAGTATTAATACTGATGACTAAAAAGTAACATTTAAATCTAATAATGACATGAACAAAATATGGTGTCATCTTAAGGAGAAACATATATGCCGAAGTTCAGCTCCTTTAGTCTGGCAATTTCAGAGGAGTATATAACCAAATATGCATGTTGGGGAAATACAAGTCTTTATCAAAACAAGTCGACATTCTCCAACTTTGGCGAATGCTTCTCCCACTCGTACTGTTAACTTAGAAGCATCGACGGAGCTCAACTGCCGCGACCTCCTGTGGGGGTATGCTCAGATACGCGGACGTGTATCGTATCAGAGTAAAAGTCAGATTAGGATTTTGGTACGACATAAGGTAACCACATAAGGCCTTTAATATATAAGATTTAGACTTAGACGACTGGGCCACCCGTGTCCTCGTTATTGCTAGTAATGGTGAAGTGGGACAGGACGGAAAATAACGTGACTGGTCCACCACATCTGAAGAAAAGCTAACAGACGTCTTCATATATTTTAGATACGCTTCAAGCACTTCAAGCCATAAATTGCCTAATATTTCTGCTCGTCTGCAATAGTCTTCACTGTAGTGATAGGTTGGTAGGTTTTTGGGGGGTTTTGGGGTTTGTTTTTTTTTTTTTTTTGGGGGGGGGGGGGAGAGAGAAACACAATTTTATGATGAGTATGCACAAAGAGTAAAAGGTAATTTTTCTATTTATATCTATGCACACCAATCGTAAACTGAAACAACCTTGTCAATGCACAGCCATGTGACCTTTCACCTTTCCTTGACTGCCCACTGAACTTGAACAAGTACAAACAGGAACTACCTACTATCTAACTCAAAATTCAGGATTTCAACAAGTCACAACTGTATGCATGATATTCAGCTACATCTTTCAACATTTCCAGTGAACACTACAAGGAGTATCTTTAAGACACTTTCAAAGTTTCAACACACTGTGAATCCAACACAAACATGACAAACAAATTTGCTGATAAAATGAGTCCACCATTTATTAAACACACCAATACTGATGTGTACAATGATTCTGTGTAGAATTAACTCACTGAATACAATAATCAATCATACATAAACAAACCTCACCAAGACCATTTTATTTAGTAGAGACAAAGTGCCTGTGTATAATTGCTATTGGTTATCTATATATATAGGTGTGGGATCTGTTTTTCTTTGTCCAATTCTCTTACCTTGGTAGATGTGTGTGTGTGTGGTGATGGGAGGTGTGTGTGTGTGTGTGTGTGTGTGTGTGTGTGTGTGTGTGTGTGTGTGTGTGTGTGTGTGTGTGTGTGTGTGTGTGTGTGTTGGTAACACTGTTGGTTGTAGGGAACTAGATGGGGGTGTGATTGGGAACAGCACAATCATGTTTGAAACTGGATGACATGAACAAACAATAATAGTTTTGCATTATTAAACATTCTTGTCTAGGTATCATATGCATGCAGCCCCATTTGACATGCCATAGAATTGTCAGATTTACAGGAGACTGATAATATTGCACAGCTGTATAATAATAATAATAATAATAATAATAATAATAATAATAATAATCATCATCATCATCTCTTTATTACTTTTCAAATTAACACAATAACTACCAAGTAAAACAGGTGAGCATCGAGGAGACAAGCCATGGATATCAACAGGATGTCAATAACAAAAAACATACTCTGGTGTTTGTACATTCAATACACAGTTCATTCAGACAATTCAAATATGTTTGTTTCATTTTTTGTGATTGCGCAGCTAGCAATATAAGGCCTCATGAAAACATAATGTTGAATGTTATCCCAAGTTTATCAAAGTTTGAGTTGACATGGTAAAGACTTCAGTAAACATGTATCATGCACAGTTTCCACTGCAATGAAAATGTCATTTTCATATTTCACTGCAGTAAAAGTATCTTTTAAAATTAATTAAAGAATATCACATTTATATTTCACTGCATTGAAATATACACTTTACTCTGTGGTGAAAATACAAAATTATTTTCCGATCTTTCCTGAATTTTTATTTTCCTGTATATAATATATACCAATAATAATAAGAAGAATATTTAGAGAATATTGTCTTTAACTCCACTACAAAAAATACTAGCTTACACGGGCACTGAGCAGTAGCAGATCCAGGAATAAAAATATAATTAAGGCTTTATTATTATCATTGATTATCACTTAAATATATTTTGTTAACAAAAAGATATTTACATGTCGATACATTACCTAGAATAAAGTCTTGTCCCTTTTAACACGTTGTCTCAGTCGTTAAGTAGTACTGCAGTGTAGACAGACTGTAATTACACAACCATAGTCAGTCCCGCCTAAAGAAAAAACTTTTTCATAACTTTTTGACCATCTGACCATGGTGACTTAACTTGTGATGTGTAAGAAGCAATCAAAAGTAGTGTTAGGAATAGGTTGCTTAGTTGCAAGATTAATCATGATTAATGATGCTAATAAAGCTCCACCAGAAAGCAGCATCCAGCATCCCCATCCAGCCTGGGGTGTGGTATAGCTGAACACTGCTAAAACAACACTTTCATGGTGCCAAGACGTTTCAATGATTATTGAATAAAAATTATTACAGATGAAAATTATACATTCATATTATCCAGTTTCTCTCCTTAGTAATTTGCCTAATGTGTGAAGACAATACATAAATTTTGAATTGTGTACACACAAATATACATGTTGAAAAAAAATAAATACTATAACACTGTGCATAGTTACACAATGTAGCCTTTCCTACTTTGGTTTGAAATTACCAATAGTCTGGTCCCAAGGGAGCAAAAGACACAGAATACCGGGTACCCCAAAAGACTATCAACATCAAATGACAACTGAGTAAATACTCAATGGCTCAAAAGCACAATTGGCTCAATGGACACGAGAACACTTTCTTCTATTACAGCTACCTGGGCGTGTCTAACATGTTGGACTCTCAACATGCTCAAAAGAAGATCGTTTAACAATACAGTAACAATATTCCAACTATTTCACATACACATTTCCAACTATTTCTCTCGTTTCCACACATGCACACACTCATGATCAGACGGACATACACTGTTAATAGCATGAACAGTGATACACACCATTGCTGTAAAATGACTCACAGTCTGAAGGTAACACATTGTAACCATCCAATCCTCATTAGACGATTCTGACAACACGAATGGGATATTGATGTCCTATTTCATTCTTAAATTCACACATCATACACACTGAAAAAAAAGAAAAGGTCAATCTTTGCCATGAACTGAATTCAAATGCCTCTTCAAATGAAAACCATTATTGAAAATTTTCCCACAGTCTGAACAGAGGTAGTTTCCTTTCATGGCATTGACTCGCACATGTTGCCGCTTGTGGACCTCGAGGTCATTGGATAGAGGGAATGTCTTGGTGCACTCACTGCACTTGTATGGCCTGTTGGTCATGTGGGTCATTCGGTGCAGATGCAATCGGTAGGGTTGTGTAAATCCACGATCGCACTGGTCACACTGGTATGGACGCTCACCTGTGTGGAGAAACTTGTGGCGCTTAAGGCTACTGGCTAGAGCAAAGCCTTGTTCACACATCTCACATTTATACGGCTTCACCCCTTGATGACTGTTTTTATGAATTTTTAAACTAAATGCCTGAGCAAACTTTTTATCACAAAGGTTACAATGATATGGCCGCTCACCAGAATGAGTCTTCATGTGGATGTGGAGATTACATGAGGTTGTGAAATTCATGTCACACTCTCCACACTTGAACGATTTCTCTCCAATATGTTTCCTCATAATGTGACGATCAAGAGAGCTTTTATGGGCAAAGTTCATGCTGCAGATGTCACACATGTGCGGTTTCTGTCCGGTGTGTAATCGCATATGTTGTCGCAGACTGTAATACGTCTCAAACCGTTTACCACATTGTTTACAATGGTGTTCTCGGTCACATGTGTGAATGATGCCATCAGGGACATCGTCTCCATCTCCATCACACACAGGGCAATGGCTTGCCTCATGGGCATGTCGGTGGATCTTCATGTGGAGACGGAGATGATGGGGCTCCTGGAACTTCTTGCTACAGATGTCGCATGTGTATGGGAACCCTCCTGCATGTGTCCGCATGTGGTATTTGAGTGAGGTCTTCTTGGAGAACTCCTTGCCACACATGCCACAATGAAAGGACTCTGTCACTGAGTGGGTAGTCATATGTGTTTCCAGATCGGCTTCACCAAGACAGATCAAGTCACACAGGTCACACACAAAAGATTGTCCAACCAATTCATCAGTCTCTGATCCTTGACTGGAACGTAGTTGATGTTGATCTTTTTCTCCATGAGAATCTTTGGAATCTACCATTTCATCTGCACTAGGATCTCTTAAGGGTACCCTCCCATCTGCATAAGGATCACTTATGGGTACCCTCCCATCTGCACTAGGATCTCTTAAAAGTACCCTACCATCTGCACTAGGATCTCTTAAAAGTACCCTCCCATCTGCACTAGGATCTCTTAAAAGTACCCTACCATCTGCACTAGGATCACTTATGGGTACCCTCCCATCTACACTAGGATCACTTATGGGTACCCTCCCATCTACACTAGGATCACTTATGGGTACCCTCCCATCTGCACTAGGATCACTTATGGGTACCCTCCCATCTGCACAAGGATCTCTTATGGGTACCCTCCCATCTGCACAAGGATCTCTTATGGGTACCCTACCATCTGCACAAGGATCTCTTATGGGTACCCTCCCATCTGCACAAAGATCTCTTATGGGTACCCTCCCATCTGCACTAGGATCACTTATGGGTACCCTCCCATCTGCACAAAGATCTCTTATGGGTACCCTCCCATCTGCACAAGGATCTCTTATGGGTACCCTCCCATCTACACTAGGATCACTTATGGGTACCCTCCCATCTGCACAAAGATCTCTTATGGGTACCCTCCCATCTGCACTAGGATCACTTATGGGTACCCTCCCATCTGCATAAGGGTCTATTATGGGTACCCTCCCATCTACACTGTGATTACTCAAGGGCATGCTGTCATCTTCAGTAGGATATCTTAAGGGTACTCCACCACTTTTACAACATTTTACAGTATCCTCTAACAATTCATTTTCTTCTTTTATCCTTACATGGTTATTCTCATTTGATACCCATTCTCCTTTCAAGCAGACAGGGGTATTTTCTGCAAATATCACAGGTGCCCTGTCTTTTTTTCTTCTGTCAGGTTTTCCCTTCTTATTATTTTTGAGTCTAGTAGCCTTTCTTTTAGCTGTTACCACAGCATGGCAGTCATCTCCTTCAGCAGTGCCTTTCCAGATAGTGTCACTGGCATACACTGCCCGAGAAACACCTTGTACTTCAGTCTTGATGATAGCCATTTTGGGTGCTTCAGCTTCACTCATGGTATTGGGGGAAATGTTTTCTGGCAGGAACTTTATCCTCAGAAGGTCCCTGTTCCACAGGAGTTGCCATGAATCATATCTGGATCATTGTAACCGCAACTGCATGCTTCATATGCATACATTAAGCCACTTGGCCAAAGACGTGCCACACTGATCAGCTGCCATTGCCACATTCTGTAACATGGAAAACTAATATAATAATGTACATTAATATATTGCGCTGCATCAATGTATTAGAGCATGCTCAAGGTGCCACACAATTATTACCCCGGTCAATGGATCATTCATTCTCCCATGAATTTGGAAATTACTTGACTTTTATTGATCAATCCGAGGTATGAAATCACAATAACCACCTCTGAACATGCTGAATGAATTGAGGCTAATATTTAATGAAAGTACTTTTTTTCTTAATCATGGTTGGTGGGCATTTTAAAATAAGCATATGTAAAATTATACATGATAAAAATGCAGAGTTGTGGTTATGTTAGTAATCAGACACAACTGGACAATTTGCATATTTTTATTTGTATTAATGTCTTCCATTGTAACGAAGAGAATTAGTCAGAAATGCAGAGAATCACTGTCGTCATATGTGCATGATTTCACATCAGGTCATGTCATCACATGGAATGGAAACTTGGATAATTTCTGTTGATTTTACCAAATCATAGTAATGCATCTATTTTTAATTCCCTAATTCTTGCTATGACCTCTTCCAATGAATATTAGCAGAAATGTAAGCCAATGTACACAACAAAAAGATGAATGGATCTCTCAAAAAAGGAAAAATGCAGACAGATATCAGTATACCGGATATACCTTCAGGCATTTTGGTAAGGTAACAGTTTCTAAATTGTTCAGCTGCCATTTTAGCAGTATTGCTAGATGAACAGGGGATTTGTCGGGCTTTCCCCCATACAGGTCCTTGTAATAAAAGTACAAGCATAAAGAAGTAAATGATATTTTCAGATATCAGGTTATCAATGACGACTACTCTGCTTGTTGAAATCGGGCCCTTTGCCTGTGACTGATGAGTTGCCACATGTCATTATGGAACTTCTAGTTTCAGTTTTTAATGCTGATTTTCCATGCTATGAAATGCTTAGATATTCAATTATGTGGTTTAATCATATCAAACCATACAAATGGAAGCAGGCTATTTTTTTCTCCTTATTTTGGGCTTTATCCCTATGTTTTTCAAAAAGCCATGATGTCGTGTGACCCTGAAATTAGAAGCATCAAACACATTATGTCCGACAGGTATCCAGTGTATAAAAATTTGAATTTTGTTTTGTTTACATTTTCAAACAAGTACAGCTTGCCAGAGACAGCATTCATTTCACAACCTGATATATTTTGCTTGATTTCATCTCCTGGCTAGCAACCAGTCATCGCCGAGGACCAATTATCGCCAACTCCCCATCAATAGCTCGCACGTGATCGCATCTCATTTCACTTTTGCTTGTTTTCATTAGAAGAGAGAAATATTTACATGAAAATGATAAACAAAACGGACTCTATTGAGGGAATATTTCAAAACACCATATAATCATCCTGCTCAAATACAACTTTAGAAAAGACACGCTGGGGCTGTCACTTGACTATATTTCACACAAAGAAATAAATCAAACAACACGATGATGCATTTTCAGTTCTGTCATTGCTTTCTATCTCTCTGTCATTTCTTCCCTACAGTTCAGTGAGTGAGTGAGTTAGGTTTAACGCCGCTTTTAACATTATTCCAGTTATATCGCGGCGTGTCAGCTTAATGTGGGAGGAAAGCCCGAAGTGATGCAGGTCTCAGACGTTTACCACTTCGGTGAAACCCACGAGCACGGGTATGGTGCTGACAAACCTAGAAACATAATCGGGGCGAACCGGGATTCGAACCCACAATCATAGGTTTCTGGCGTGCCCAAGGGACGCAACTCTGCACAGCGAATCACGGCGCCTTAGACGACTGGGCCACCCGTGCCCCCCCTACAGTTCAGAAACCTATTTGAGCTATATTTCCAAAAATGCATAACCTGTGTATATTGCGAGATCCATAGTGTTAGGGATAAGCATGTGAAGATCGAGTTTGGGGAATATTGGTTTTTGTCTGTTTGCAGACGACAAATTGATAATAGCATTTCTTATTCACTTTGATGAATAAAACAATTGAGTGCGATACCCGAAATACTAAAAGATGTTATTTGTATAACTGAAGTGATCGTGTGTGATAAGTGTGCGTGATCTTGTGGCACATGCTGTTAAGACAATGGTGACAACTGGTACAGTAACTCAACGGTAAAATTCTATTTCCACTGTTTTGATTCCCTATCATAGCTTTATCACCGAAATCCACTGAATCCTATTCCTGGGCAGGAGTATATTGGCTCCTATACAGTTTCACCAAATTAAAGTTATTGGCACAGTAAACTTTGTAAACAGAATATGTCAGAAATAACATGAAAACAAATGGTGATAACTGATCGGTAACCACTATACAATTAGTATTGATGACAAAGACAATTTGATATGACTAAGTGACTTATGATGACATCACAGAACAGATAATTCTGTGACGTGCTTGCGTGCGTGTGTGTGCGTGCGTGCGTGCGCGTGCGTGTGTGTGCGTGCATGCGTGTGTATGATGTATATTGTTGTTTTATTCAACCTACACACCGAGGGTTGAACATGTAAAGGGGAGATACCAATTCTCCAGTTCCATTCAACAATGCCAAATGACATTATTCATAAAAAGACGGAGTCAAGATGCGTTTGATAGGCGTACATGACACAACATGCACGCCAATACACAATTTAAGTACCAGACGAATTACTGTACTATTGTTTGAGATTATTGCATGCTATGACACTTACGACATATGCACCAGTTGGTCTGGGTAACGTTGTTTATCTTCGAGCAACCATATTGCAAGGCAAGAAGGATGTAAACTCCATTACAGCGTTCTCACCAGCGGACCCTACTTCTCGCCGCTGACTAAAACATGAGCGTGCCTAACTGGCAATCAAATTGTGGTTGGAACTGCAATTGGAAGTCTCCTGTGATCTTGTCTCGAAGATCTTCCGTTCTGGGCGCGCCATGTGCGAAGTTGAATGCGGGAGAGTGTTTTCGAAGTAAATGTGTGAAAGTACTTCAACTTGCAGTTGCAATACAAATATATTTCAGTTCCTAAATTGGCTGGATCTAGTGCAGATACCACATGGTGGTATTTCAACTTCATATGAAACAAACAAACAAACAAGTTCATATGAAGTCATTCATTTGTCTAAGGATATATGGGAAAATTGTTGACAATGAAAGGGCGAGGTAGAATTAGGGCCTGTTTTGGCCTACTGAAAATGTCAAAAGTCCCGGAAAACTTTGAAATACATGTAAGATTTGGACTTGGACCAATGATAAGGCCAACATTACTTAGTAAGGCTGAGAAAATCCGCCACCCGACGTATGTTTGAACTACCTAATCTACATCTCCTAAGAAAATCAACATCGGCCAAAGACGTGGTCATGTTCAAATATAATAAAAACCTCTTAATCAGCCTTACCAACACATTATAGCATTAACACACACACACACACACACACACACACACACACACACACACACAGAGCGTTGAAGTAAACAAAATGTAATTCTCTTGTTTACAGGAGAATGTCGTAGTACGTGGCCGAGGCACTGCTGTGCGGAGTCAGCAACAAACAGACACTTATTTTCTTATGCAATTTGTGTGTGGTGGGTGCTACCCATAGGGCAGGACATGCTTACCCTTTTCGCGAACACCTGGTGTCATCACTGATCATGATTTTCAGTGACCCATTCATATAAGTTTCACCGCTATTTTGTCTTTTACGCCCAATGGAATCTGTTTCGGCGGATAGTCGAGGGTGATTATGCCATGGCGTTGAAGTTATATATTTCATATGAAAATATATTTGGTAACTTTTTCTACGATTTTAAAATAGTGTGCTTATTTATTAAATAACTTGTACTTTGTCAACAACACGATACCACGCTTTTTTCTACACAGACACAAAATGTGGAATGTATTCACTTTATTCACATTCGGTTGACAGAGGTGAAATAATATTTTTATAAAAATCGAGTTACTATTCATGAATTAATATATTTTAATGAAACGTTATTATATTGCTTCATTTCATTGGTCATGTAGGGATCACGCGTAAAATGTTACTACATAAGGGCGCGGATGGCTGTGTCCATTACTTTGAGTTGGGAAAATGCAAAGCATGTTTGATCTTAAAACTAACATAGGCAATTCATTTGATTAAATATTGGTAAGTTCACAATTGTATTTGCTTATGTCCAGTTTGTCTAAGGCGACGTAATTCTTTGAAGAATTGCATCTCTTAGCAGCACAAATCCGCATGTCGTGAGTTCAACTCAGAATCAATTCGCTTATCTTGCCCAGGCTCGTTGGTGTAATCATGGAGGGAAAGATCAGCAACATGCCTCCCTTTCCTCCAACAACGCTGAGTGATATGATCGAAAACGGCGTAAAACTAAACTCAGTAATATTTTCTCAAATATACACATGCACAACAGTTAAGCGCCACCATATTCATAGTCTCTTGATTTCACGTGTGGGAATCTGAAATACGAAATATGATGATGTATGACTGAATTAGGCTTCCATAGTTTCATGAACCCACATTTGTCCAGATACAAGGAAAGCGTGCTTTACGTGTTGCTGCAGTTCCCTTACCCTATAAATAGTGAAATTCAAGTTTCAGACACGTGGTTGCATTTTGCTCCTGTGTGAGAATCCCCTTCAAATAGAGGTTGAAAAATCAGCCATGGTGAGGAGAAAGTTAACGAACGCTGAAAGATGGCAAGTGATAGGCATGAAAAATTCTGGCATGTCATGCAGGGCCATTGCAAGTCATCACAGTGTTATCACTAGTTTGATTGTCAAACATGGTCAAACCAATGATGATTTTGATACTTTCAAAGAAGGTCGATTACTCCCTGTGGACCATTGTTTCTGTTAATCTTTTTTTTATCCTGCCTAGCCTATAGGTGTGCTAGATCAACGAAAAGAGTACAGAATCGATATATCCGAAGCCAGGCTGCACGAAATCGAGCTCAAACGGCGAATCAAATTGCTTCATACTTTCATCAGGCTACTCGAGTACGAGTTACTGGTCAGACGATTAGAAATAGTCGCCATGCTCGACGGCCACGTGTTGTGCCGCGCTTTACTAATCGTCATATTGCCAGTAAACCTGAATGATGTACACAGCATCGAAACTGGGCTAATCAGGGCTGGTCACGTGTTATGTTTTCAGATGGGTCCCGATTCACTTTGAACTTCCTTGATCGTGGCGTGGTCATGTCAAGCCAATGTCAACCTGAGACCTCATGACAGGTTTGGCGGTGGATCGGTTATAGTGTGGGGGTGGCATCACTATGACTGAACGAACCCCACTCCAAATGTGGAAGGGTCGTTGGATAGTTCTGTCGGGACAACATACTGACACAATTTGTTGTTCCGTTTGCAAGGCGCGTGGGTCGACGTTTTGTCTTTCAGGACGACACTGCCCGTACTCACCGTGCATGAATCGCCAATGCTCACCTCCAGCAGCTCAGAATGCCATGGCCAGCAATGAGCCCAGACCTTTCCCCAACTCAGCATGTCTGGGACATGATAGGGAGACGTGTGCGTCATAGGTCGCCGACCACATTGACTAAACTTGGCCGGGCGCTGCAAGAGGAGTGGGACAGACGCCTTCAAGTCGCAATTAGCAGACGCATACGCAGTATGCTTCGTCCATCGAATGAATGTTTGACAAATCGTGTCGGTATTACGCACTACAGATTCAAAAGCGCCAATTTACCTGCCCATGTAAAATCTTCGAAAAACCTTTTTAAAACAATCTTTTCTCTTAAACACATTTAAAGTTTATCGCTGCATTTGGTGCTGTTACAAGTCCAAAATTTAAGAAAGAGTTCAGTTCGCATTTATTTTGAGTACATAAGATAACTTTCATAACGATTAAAAGTTGTCCTTATTTCATACATTGTCCTTTGTACATGACGACACACGATAATGCGTTGTTTTATCATGTCATTTCCGTTGTAATCACGGAGTGTATATCGATCAAAATGTGTTCACAATCTATTGAACAATGTTGCAGATGTTGCTGACAAAACAAAAATCCGATAATGGCACATTAAAGCGATTTTATTTTCGATGTTATGGATCATCTCCGACCAACCCTTTCTCCTGCTCCGCCCAAGTAGTGCCGCCGTGTAGCCTGAAACATAAGGAAAACTAGCAATGTAGATTTGATCCCACCAAAAGCACACGTGTGTGCTTGTCTGGAATGAGTGAGTCAGTTGGAGTTTACGCCGCTCTTAGCATTATTCAAGTCATATCATATTAAGGGCACCACAAATGGGTTTCCTGCTTTCTAGCTATGTGAAAAATCGAACCTTTCGTGTAAGGGTGTGTGTGATAGATTACCCCACCACTCCTTCCTTTTAAGTTTAATTGTCGCCAAAGGGAAACACAATCCAGCAAAAACAACCAAATCCACATTGAGCGATTGATTTCAACCAATCCTATATATTGTGTTGTGGTGACACAATGACAGCTGAGAGGAATACATAAAAATGAAGGCTGAGAGGAATGCACACTGTGAAGGCTGACACGAATGCATACAGTGAGGGCTTAGAGGAATTCACACAATGAGGGCTGAAGAGAATGCACACAATGAAGGATGAAGGGAATGCACACAATGAGGGTAGAGGAGACTGCAGACTATGAGGGTAGAGGAGACTGCACACAATGAGGGTAGAGGAGACTGAACACAATGAGGGTAGAGGAGACTGCACACAATGAGGACTGAAGGGAATGCACACAATGAGAGCTGAAGGGAATGCACGCAATGGGGGCTGAACGGAATGCATACAATGGGGGCTGAAAGCAATGCACACAATGAGGGTAGAGGAGATTGCACCCAATGAGGGTAGAGGAGACTGCACACAATGAGGACTGAAGGGAATGCACACAATGAGGGTAGAGGAGACTGCACGCAATGGGGGCTGAAGGGACTGCACTAAATGAGGGTAGAGGAGACTGCACGCAATGGGGGCTGAAAGGACTGCACTAAATGAAGGCTGAAGGGAATGCACACAATGGGGGCTGAAAGCAATGCACACAATGAGGGTAGAGGAGACTGCACACAATGAGGGCAGAGGAGGCTGCACACAATGAGGGCTGAAGGGAATGCACACAATGAAGGCTGAAGGGAATGCACACAATGGGGGCTGAAGGGAATGCACACAATGGGGGGCTGAAAGCAATGCACACAATGGGGGCTGAAAGCAATGCACACAATGAGGGCTGAAGGGAATGCACACAATGTGGGCTGAAGGGAATGCACACAATGGGGGCTGAAAGCAATGCACACAATGAGGGTAGAGGAGACTGCACACAATGGGGGCTGAAGGGAATGCACACAATGAGAGCTGAAGGGAAAGCATACAATGAGGGCTGAGAATGCTGCACACAATGAGGGCTGAAGGATATGCACACAATGAAGGCTGAAGGGAATGCACACAATGGGGGCTGAAGGGAATGCACACAATGGGGGGCTGAAAGCAATGCACACAATGGGGGCTGAAAGCAATGCACACAATGAGGGCTGAAGGGAATGCACACAATGGGGGCTGAAGGGAATGCACACAATGGGGGCTGAAAGCAATGCACACAATGAGGGTAGAGGAGACTGCACACAATGGGGGCTGAAGGGAATGCACACAATGAGAGCTGAAGGGAAAGCATACAATGAGGGCTGAGAATGCTGCACACAATGAGGGCTGAAGGATATGCACACAATGAAGGCTGAGGATGCTGCACACAATGAAGGCTGAGAATGCTGCACACAATGAAGGCTGGGGATGCAGCACACAATGAAGGCTGGGGATGCAGCACACAATGAAGGCTGAGAATGCTGGACACAATGAAGGCTGAGAATGCTTCACACAGTGAAGACTGAGGATGCTGCACACAATAGGGCTGAGAACGCTGCACACAATGAGGGTTGAGAATGCTGCACACAATGAAGGCTGAGGATGCTGCACACGAGGGCTGAGAATGCTACACACAATGAAGGCTGAGAATGCTGCACACAATGAAGGCTTAGGATGCTGCACACAATGAGGGCTGAGGATGCAGCACACAATGAGGGCTGAGGATGCTGCACACAATGAGAGCTGAGGATGCAGCACACAATGAAGGCTGAGGATGCTGCACACAATGAAGGCTGAGGATGCTGCACACAATGAAGGCTGGGGATGCTGCACACAATGAAGGCTGAGGATGCTGCACACAATGAAGGCTGGGGATGCTGCACACAATGAAGGCTGAGAATGCTGCACATAATGAAGGCTGAGAATGCTGCACACAATGAAGGCTGAGGATGCTACACACAATGAAGGCTGCGAATGCTGCACACAATGAAGGCTGAGAATGCTGCACACAATGAAGGCTGAGAATGCTGCACACAATGAAGGCTGAGGATGCAGCACACAATGAAGGCTGAGAATGCTGCACACAATGAAGGCTGAGGATGCAGCACACAATGAAGGCTGGGGATGCAGCACACAATGAAGGCTGGGGATGCAGCACACAATGAAGGCTGAGAATGCTGCACACAATGAGGGCTGAGAATGCTGCACACAATGAAGGCTGAGGATGCTACACACAATGAAGGCTGAGGATGCTGCACACAATGAAGGCTGGGGATGCTGCACACAATGAAGGCTGAGGATGCTGCACACAATGAAGGCTGAGGATGCTGCACACAATGAAGGCTGAGAATGCTGCACACAATGAAGGCTGAGAATGCTGCACACAATGAAGGCTGAGGATGCTACACACAATGAAGGCTGAGGATGCTGCACACAATGAAGGCTGGGGATGCTGCACACAATGAAGGCTGCGAATGCTGCACACAATGAAGACTGAGGATGCTGCACACAATGAAGGCTGAGAATGCTGCACACAATGAAGGCTGAGGATGCAGCACACAATGAAGGCTGGGGATGCAGCACACAATGAAGGCTGGGGATGCAGCACACAATGAAGGCTGAGAATGCTGCACACAATGAGGGCTGAGAATGCTGCACACAATGAAGGCTGAGGATGCTGCACACAATGAAGGCTGAGGATGCTGCACACAATGAAGGCTGGTGATGCAGCACACAATGAAGGCTGAGAATGCTCCACACAATGAAGGCTGGGGATGCTGCACACGAGGGCTGAGGATGCTTCACACAATGAGGGCTGAGGATGCCCACACGAGGGCTGAGGATGCTGCACACGAGGGCTGAGGATGCTGCACACAATGAGGGCTGAGGATGCTGCACACAACGAGGGATGAGGATGCTGCACACAATGAAGGCTTGGGATGCTGCACACAATGAAGGTTTGGGTTGCTGCACACAATGAAGGCTGAGGATGCTGCACACAATGAAGGCTGAGGATGCAGCACACAATGAAGGCTTGGGATGCAGCACACAATGAAGGCTGAGAATGCTGCACACAATGAAGGCTGAGAATGCTGCACACAATGAGGGCTGGGGATGCTGCACACAATGAGGGCTGAGGATGCTGCACACAATGAAGGCTGAAGATGCAGCACACAATGAAGGCTGAGGATGCAGCACACAATGAAGGCTGGGGATGCTGCACACAATAAGGGCAGATATGAGTGCATGTGGCTAGGGATTGGTGTGTGTTTGTACTGAGGACATAAATACATTGAGGGCAGATTAGAATGCATGGACCAAAAAGAAGAATGAATGCAGTAAGGGCAAAATAGTGTTAATACAAAGGGATGTAGACAGAGACATCACAGAAGAATGCTAATAACAGGCCGAAACATTAAAGGAGAGAGTTCACTCTTAAATGTAAGCCTTATGAAGCCCACCTTTCGATTATCAGCAGATTTGCCTTTCGGAAGATGACATGGTTTCGTGGATTTATCTTACCCTAATATTGCGGAACAAATTCATAGTCTGCCTTGAAGCCCTTTCCTGTGACACTGTGATCCGTATGGAAGCCAATCAAAATCCCATACTCGATGTCTGGAACTGAAAATAAATTTAGTTTATATTATATTAAAATCCTGTACATATCAAACTATGATATCGGCTTGGCCTGGCAATCTTTTGGGATTGTTTGAACTTTGACCCTTCTACTTTGCTATATGCTACTTATGTTGTCTCATAGGGCGTCGGGTAGCCTAGTGGTTAAAGCGTTCGCTCGTCACGCCGAAGACCCGGGTTCGATTCCAGACATGGGTACAATGTGTGAAGCCCATTTCTGGTGTCCCCCGCCGTGATATTGCTGGAATATTGCTAAAAGCGGCGTAAAACCATACTCACTCACTCACTCACTCATAGGGCGTCATTGTCACAACTAATTCACAACTAAATATTTCCTATTTCATCACTGTCTTTGAAATAGTTCCTGAGGCATACATCCAAAAATTCCCTTTTAATATGCCCAATTTAAACTTCCAACTGGATCAAATAAAAGATCGCCCAAAATTGACATCTAATCTGGACTTATGAAAGACTTACCCCCTTGAACTAGAAATAAAAGAGACCGGTAAGGCCGCCTCATTGTTTGATATTTAGATCTATGTAGTAATATTCAGAGTGAAGAAAAACTTTCCACAGGACTGTATGGTTGACATGTAGAGGTCATTTCCATAACTGAGCATCAGTGACGAAACTGATGTCCGATGCAATTCTCTCTTTTGACATGTACCACATGTCCCCGGTTTCTTTTGTCAGGTGAAGAATTGACTTGCCTCTGCTAATGACGGGTGCCACGTTTTCGCGAACACCTGGCATCATCACTACTTCACAGTGATTCATAAACACATATTCATGATGTAGTCCGAATCGTACAATGGACTCTGCTTTTGGTAGACATTTCTTGTGATTATGGAAATACTTTTTGTCCTTTTTATTTAGACAGTCTGAGGGTCATCTAACTACAAATGTTATCAACAGAAACAACATAATATGTTTAGAGAATTCCGCACAAATGGAATCCAGTGTTAATTAAACGAGCGAGCATTATCCTGCTCTGAAGATACATGTATCACCCATAGTAGGAAAGTTGCAATTGGCCCTATACAATTACAATATTTCAAATGTTCGTCAGATATGTTCTTGTAATTTGAGAGTGAGGACAATAATCAGAATAATTAGTGTGGCAAAAAATTATATTGGCTCTTATCCGTAGGCCGTCGGTGAAAGCAAGTAGATCAACAAGAGGTGTGTAATGTGCATTTTTTTTAAACCATGACAGTAAGACAGCATTGATCTAGTGATCACGTTACTGTCATGTCATATGGGGAATTAACTATTTGGTTGCGAGCCTTGAAACAAGAGAGGAGAGAACTGAACGTTCCTTTGGGTTTATTCAAGAGTTATATACCCCATAGCTACCCATAGCTAAACAATGCATATGGAATCCCGTTAACGCACATGTTTTTATACCCATTCTTGGGTAATGAAATGCATGGGGCTTGCATAAAAGTCAACTTTTGCATGGAATGCATGCTTTTCTGTGGCAGTTGCGTTTTTGTGACTTGATTCCATACATGTACTACAATATTGAAAACCAAACTTTACTTGTTTGAAACATTCACTAAAATATTGGTGTCACAGGAACTTTTGTTGTTGAGTATATAATTGATCTTATGTGATTTGCTAGCAAAATACTGAAATGTTTATACGTTTGGCACTTGACACAAACCCAACATACAGTTGAAACCACTGTCAGGGATTTTTTTTATATATTAATTCCCGAATAGCATAAACCATTAAATGAGCAGTTGTCTTATGTACATACAAAGGTTTGTGAAAAATCTGAACCTCCTATAATTTGACTTTTGTTATCTCTATTACCACTGTTCGTTTGCGAGATTACGGGATTATGTCTTCCAGAGGCAAGGGAGTTAATAAAAGTACAGATTCCACCCTTCCCGATCTGGGCTAGAATTTCTGGGCTCGATCGTAGCGCCACCAGTGGCCATTACGAGTTATGTGCCGTCTCCCGCCTATTGACCAATCAGATTCGACCTCTCATATCACTTGCAATTTCTTCAAAGAAAACGGCGGCGCCCAGTCAAGACGATCTTATCGTTAATCAAGATCTATATTGAAATAAAACGCGTCTTACCTCGCGAAGACATCAAAATAACGCTAGCACCTGTATTAAAAACATAAACAGATTTTGCAAATATCTGTCGACGCCCAGTTGACGATACACATGCTCTGCAAATGCTGCAATCGACCGAAATCAGCACGGCAGTCGCTACATTGTTTATGAACCGGATGTCGATTTCGTTTGCGCGATTTTGATGGGGATAATGCAGTTATATCAGTCAACATATAACTCTATAATTCCAGCCTAGTTCGGTAAGGGTGGAAACTGGACACATGAATATCAACCATATCCAAACTATAAATTATATTTGTTGCATTGGACTTTTATTGTCAGTTAACTCCCTTGCCTCGGGAAGATGTTTGAAAAAATGGCCACGAGAGTTGCATGAGCCGTCATGCTGCTTGTCCCGGAATGACACCAGTGGTAACAAATTGGTATGACATGCGTCCGAAGTGCCTCTAAACCGACCTTAACCTGCTGGGTACACACTTACCCCTGATTGTCAAAGGTGACTGTCCACAATATTCCTTGTGGTCTATTTTAATGTAGTCAGAACAATGTCCAGTGGTTCCCTCGATGTCCATCTCGTCAATGACCAGGACAAGGGTATATATGTCGCCGGTCGGCGGGATGTTCAGCTCCCAGATCCCTTCGTAGTCGTTGTGGTAGTTGCTGGGGTAGTTTGGGGTCTTAATTTTTCCGTGAAAATCTCCTAACTGCATCACCTCCGTCTCTATTGATAAGTCTGACATGAAAAGGAGAATTCGGGATAATAATTTGAAGATAATGCACAGTCGACACTACACCTGTGCGAAATCTTAAAATCGCAACAATAGAGAGTTGCGTTACGCCGCAAAACTCCAGTTATATGACGTCGGCCCCGTATAACTTGATACTGGGCCAGGAGATACAGCCATAGCAAAAACAACGATCCACGCAGCAGTGGTAAATGTAAATGCCCTCACGTAACGGTAGCTTAACCATGCCACTGTTGTTACAAACATGGGGATCGTGTCAATGCTACATAAGCGATAGTCACCAAGCGATGTCTCAAATAAGAATTTAACAAGGATACATTTTTTTTTCATTTATTTTTTACAGTTTCATATGTTCAAACATTTTCAATCAAGATACACAATTAACATTACTAAAAAGAGGAATGCCAGCCTTTGAAATAGGAGTGGAAGACACAACATTGAAACAATGTTGAATTAAAGCTCATTCCAAACTCTCTGAGTGCCGCCAATTCCAAAATATCAAAAGGTAAAAGAAATTTCAATCCGATGATATTTTCAGATTGGATTGCTATGTGTTGACTGGAATAATCAATTTGATGGATTCATTAACATATAACCACGTTAGCATTGGTCTTTGATCCTTTGCCATGTTGGGATCGGTTGGAAAGCGTTGCCTGAAATCTGCTCTTAAGCAACCGTTGATCCAAGTTGGTGTATTTACCATAACAAGAAAACCTCACCTTCAGCCAGTACTAAGACAGCGCCCAATAGGAAGCAAGCGACGATAGCGCTGACATCCATTCTCTGAAAATGTCACCGATTCACTTAATAAATAATAGGAAAGATGTTTACTGAACCTTGTTGTCGAACATTTGTAAACACGTGGAAGAGAAATTGAACTTAAAACATTTTTCTGTAAATATTGCCGGCTGCTCAGCTTAAGAAACGTTTGCAATAAAATTACGTATCTCATCCTGGGAAAATGTGTAAACTAAACTGTGTCCACCTGACAAGTGCGATCTTCCCGCTGTGATGTGCACGTTTCGGTCGAGGTCGAGAAGGTCTGTGATACGTCTGTAGTGTTACTTCAAGGTATAACCACACTGACTAGTCAACCTCGGTTTGAGATGCAAATCTACAGAATCTGTGGGCGTAAGCAGGACTTGTACGTCTGACCTTGACATTGAAGGGGATCCTCTCAACTCTGACCCCTCCCAGCTGTTATGACACTTTGAGGGATGCGGCGATTGGCTGTCAGATTATTTAAGCATATAACGTGATGATCAGAGTGTCAATTTACGTAGTCATCCTTGGACAACATCGATCATAAACAGATATGACATTAACAACCGCATTTATATGATGTTAAACATAATTTCCGTTTTGTCGTTTTTAGTGGTGAAAAGTCCAAAGTGGTGCAGGTCATAGGCGTGTTAAATCATGTTGAAATATTTACGGCTTAGATACAGACAAACCACGCAGAGCGTGAGTGAGTTGGGTTTCACTCCGCACTTAATTGTTTAATTTGAGTTTGAGTGAGGGAACAGCATTTCAGGTATATGACAGCTTGGTAAGGGAGGAAAGCCAGAAGTGATGCAGATGTTTAGAACTTTGGAGAAACCCACGGGCACAGGTGAATAGTCGTGTCGAATAAAGAAATTGAACATAATTATGATCATCGGAATGTGGTGGTACACTTCAGGGACGCGGGAGGGAAGTTCAGTATTATGACAGTCTCCCATGGGTAGAAGAGAAACGCATTCACATGCATGGGTGTGGTGTTAAGAGACCAAAGATCATAATCTGGATTACCTGGGATTACCTGATCCTGATAGTTAAGGGGCACAACTCTTCAAGCCACGTACGGGAAAATATGTTTAGCACCCCTTTGAACAATATTAAGTTATTTCAAGGTTTTTCAAATGTTAGAGAAAAGGGCTTTAGATCCTAGACGCTTACTACTTCTGCGTGCACGTGTACTGTGCTCACAAACCAGGGCTGGTCGCCGTGGGCTGGGTTGTTTATTTGAAACAGAAAGCTATATATTTTCTATCACCGCTTCAAGACATACAATGTTTACTCCGAGAGGAAGAGACAAACATTTACTTGATGACGTGGTCATTGAAATGTTAAAATGTTGTGAAAATGTAATAACTCCTTTCCTACGAAATTTGTTCAATAAGTTATTTGATTCTGGATTATTCCCTCAGAACTGGACGAAAGCTATTATCCTTCCACTACATAAGAAAGGTAACAAAAATAATCCAGATAACTTTAGAGGGATATCTCTATTGTGTACAATTAGTAAGGTTTACACAAGTGTCTTAAACTCTAGACTTACAAACTGGGCTAATATAAGAAGTAAATTACCCGAGACACAAGCAGGCTTTAGACAGGGATATTCTCCTGCTGACCACATATTCATGTTGAATGCAATTGTTAACAAATGTTTATCAAAAAGAAAAGGAAAATTATACGTTGCTTTTGTGGATTTTAAAAAAGCGTTTGATTCAGTAAATCATCTTTAACTATGGGAGTGTCTGCACTTTGTAGGCTTGGGTGGAAAGATGATGAGAGCACTTAAGGGAATCTATGCCTCCGTGAAAGCGTGTGTGAGATGTAATGATAACATTTATACAGAATATTTTGATTGTCCTAACGGAGTTAAACAAGGCTGTATATTAAGCCCTCTATTATTTTCCTTTTTCATCAATGAACTGTCAAATGATGTTTCATCACATGGGAAACACGTCGTACAATTATTTCCTGACTTGTTTGAAATATTATTATTATTGTTTGCCGATGATGTTATTCTTGTCTCTGACACAGTAACTGGTTTACAGAACCAACTTAATATTCTTGATACCTTTGCAGATTCACATGGATTAACGTTTAATTTAGATAAAACGAGTGTTGTTGTATTTAGACGAGGAGGGCGGTTATCTGTTAATGAGAAATGGTTCTATAAAGGCAAACGTATTTCAACCGCCAACTCCTTTAGATATCTTGGGTTTGTATTCTCATATACATCAAAGATGAACCAATGTGTTTCAGATCTAGCATCAAGGGGTAAACGAGCTTTAATGGAAATATTTCGCAATCTACGGAAGATTGGTTTTGTTGACACTTCCGTTTTCTTTAAAATATTTGATACTCAGATTCAACCTATTCTTTTATATGGTGCGGAAATATGGGGCGTAGACAGATTTGAAAAAATAGAACAAGTGCATATTATGGCTTGTAAGAAGTTTCTTAACGTTGGTTTGCAAACCCCAAATGCTATTGTGTATGGGGAATGCGGTCGGTACCCACTACATGTAAATGCTATGTGTCGTTCTGTAAAGTATTGGCTAAAACTTATTGAAATGGACGAAGATAGGTTACCAAGAAAATCTTATAATATGCTTGTATATAACGACAAGTGTGGTCGTCATAACTATGCTTCTTCTATTCGTTCCATATTATTTTCTCACGGATTCGGAGTAGTTTGGCTCAGTCAAGCTGTTGGCGACAAACCATCATTCATGAATAGTTTTAAAAACGTTTTGATAAATATGTTCTACCAATCATGGAATAGTACTATCAAGGCTAGTTCTAGGTACATTCTGTATAAAGAATTTAAAAGTCTCCTGGAACCAGAAAAATACCTTTCCATTATTACTGAAATAAAATATCGAAATGTTTTGATAAGGCTTAGAGCCGGGCTACTAAGACTTCAGGTAAACGAAGGTAGATGGGCTGATATTGACTTACGTTTACGACTCTGCCCCATATGTGAAGCAAGTATAGAGAATGAATATCATTTTACTTTAGAATGTGAATATTACAACGATATTAGACATCTGTTTTTACCAACAACATTTTGCCATAATCCAAATATGCATAAATTTAAAACGCTACTGTCATCTTCGTGTAGACAATTACTTGGAAAACTATGTAAATACCTGTATTACAGCTATGAAAGAAGACGTAATTATGAAAAGCCTGTAAACCTGTAAATTTGTACCTGACATTACCTTTTTTCATGTACCACACTATTCCAAATGTATGTATTGTATATGGGCCAGTGGCCTTGGTACAAATAAAGACTTCTTCTTCTTCTACTTTAAACAACGCAGGATACGCTCCTCTTTCCGGGGACACTTGGTATCATCACTGTTTTATAGTGATTCATAAACAAAGGCTTCTGATGTAGTCGAAAGCGTGCAATTAACTCTGCTTTTATCATAGATTTCTTTTCATAATTGAAAAAGTTAATTTTTGTCGTTTTTAGTGTGATATGATCGAAAACGGCGTAAAACTAAACTCAGTAATATTTTCTCAAATATACACATGCACAACAGTTAAGCGCCACCATATTCATAGTCTCTTGATTTCACGTGTGGGAATCAGAAATACGAAATATGATGATGTATGACTGAATTAGGCTTCCATAGTTTCATGAACCCACATTTGTCCAGATACAACAAAGAAATAGTCTACATGTAGCTCATCGCCATGCTCCACGGCCACGTGTTGTCCCGCGCTTTACTAATCGTCATATTGCCAACAAACCTGGATGATGTACACAGCATCGAAACTGGGCTAATCAGGGCTGGTCACGTGTCATGTTTTCAGATGGGTCCCGATTCACTTTGAACTTCCTTGATCGTGGCGTGGTCATGTCAAGCCAATGTCAACCTGAGACCTGATACAGGTTTGGCGGTGGATCGGTTATAGTGTGGGGTGGCATCACTATGACTGAACGAACCCCACTCCAAATTGTGGAAGTGGGGTTAGCGCAAGGAAGGGTCGTTGGATAGTTCTGTCGGGACAACATACTGACACAATATGTTGTTCCGTTTGCAAGGCGCGTGGGTCGACGTTTTGTCTTTCAGGACGACACTGCCCGTACTCACCGTGCATGAATCGCCAATGCTCACCTCCAGCAGCTCAGAATGCCATGGCCAGCAATGAGCCCAGACCTTTCCCCAACTCAGCATGTCTGGGACATGATAGGGAGACGTGTGCGTCATAGGTCGCCGACCACATTGGCTAAACTTGGCCGGGCGCTGCAAGAGGAGTGGGACAGACGCCTTCAAGTCGCAATTGGCAGACTCATACGCAGTATGCCTCGTCCATCGAATGAATGTTTGACAAATCGTGTCGGTATTACGCACTACAGATTCAAAAGCGCCAATTTAACTGCCCATGTAAAATCTTCGAAAAACCTTTTTAAAACAATCGTTTCTCTTAAACACATTTAAAGTTTATCGCTGCATTTGGTGCTGTTACAAGTCCAAAATTTAAGAAAGAGTTCAGTTCGCATTTATTATGAGTACATTATATAACTTTCATAACGATTAAAAGTTGTCCTTATTTCATACATTGTCCTTTGTACATGACGACACACGATAATGCGTTGTTTTATCATGTCATTTCCGTTGTAATCACGGAGTGTATATCGATCAAAATGTGTTCACAATCTATTGAACGATGTTGCAGATGTAACTGACAAAACAATAATCCGATAATGGCACATTAAAGCGATTTTATTTTCGATGTTATGGATCATCTCCGACCAACCCTTTCTCCTGCTCCGCCCAAGTAGTGCCGCCGTGTAGCCTGAAACATAAGGAAAACTAGCAATGTAGATTTGATCCCACCAAAAGTACACGTGTGTGCTTGTCTGGAATGAGTGAGTGAGTTGGAGTTTACGCCGCTCTTAGCATTATTCAAGTCATATCATATTAAGGGCACCACAAATGGGTTTCCTGCTTTCTAGCTATGTGAAAAATCGAACCTAAGGGTGTGTGTGATAGATT